GCTCTAGATCTAGGTGCAGACAGGGAGTTGTTTGAAATTTTCGGGACACCTGTGACACCCATAGTGCTATATGTACCTATTTTGAATTGCTGAGGGCTTTTGGGCGATACTTTTTAGGTCTTATCCCTTTTTGGGTTGTGCTGCATCCCCACATCCCCTGCACCCCCTGCTAGCAACAGCTCTGATAATAGTAAAAAAACAAATAATTAGATTTCAAATGATATTTTACGCAAAGAACATTGACAAAAAGCAGTTGATCGGCTGAAAAATGTTGTGGATTATCAAATATTTGGGAATGCTTGCGCTCAGGCCGACCCCAACTCCAGTCTGAAAATCCTAATTCATTCAGAACAGATTTATAGAGCTGCACTTGAGCTGCAATTGAGCTGCACTTAAGCTCCACTGGATCCTTGCATGTTCTTTCTTATTGTTATTTTTAATGACGAAAGTAGACCGGCAAAAGTGTGGTGTGGAGGGGCTTCAGTATTTGATCCAGCCTAAATCCTTGCAAATAGAAATAACTAAGTATTTATAGAATTCAACTTTTTCAATTGGTACCTCAGAAATGTGGTATTCATTTTGTGGGGTATTTCTTTTTAGAATTTGTCATAATAGCATTTGCTAACATTGAATTCCATATTCCAATGATGGCTACATGCATAAAGCTTGCTCAAATCAATTTGCAAATCATAGTAAGGTAGGGGTGCCAATGTCTTCCTGAATGCTTGTGTCTCTTTTGCTGAATGCCTTTTTCAAAATTCACAGAGATTTTTGGAAGGGTTTGGTCTCCTCTCCCTGAACAAGAGAGCAAATGTTTAGTTTCACGAATTCCAAAAAATTACCATGCCCTCTTTCTTTTAATCCTGCTATGAAGAGCACAATCATCAGCAAAAGATTTATGTCTGTTAACAATTTCATTTAAGAATATTGAGAAAAATAGAATAAAAGCTTTTACAACTTAGAAAGCTTTTAATTCAAAGAAACTTTTGGTTGAGAAGTGTTGAGAAGAAGAAACAATGGCCTTCTTTTATACTTCGTAGCAACACCTTGCTTGTGCAAAATTTGCATTCCATTTGGCCATTTTTTAAACCCAATACACCTGTGGCTTTGGCCTTAAAAAAGACAATGTTATGTTTAATTGGGTAGTGAGCCTGCCTACAATGAGCAATGAGCCTGCCTACAATGAGCAAAAACTCCAAAGATGTGCTATCTGTGCCAAAAACAAAAGCCCAAAGGACAGCAAAAATCTTGTCCCATATTAATTGTGATTATAAAGGGATAGAACTGAGATAGAAGGCATTGCTTAAGAATTTTTTTTCAAAGAGGTAAAATATTGTAGGCAAGCCAAAAAAAACTGCTCACCTGCAGGCAGAAATTTCTAAGTATCATTTACGAAAATTTCAAACTTCAAAAACTTTACCTTGTGACTTCGAGTGAACAAAGCTACCTTAAATACAGCTAATTTTTAAAAAACCTTCTTTGTCAAAAAAATAGTTTGCAGGTTTAGATGTTTCATTGATGGTCTTGAAAGGCATTGAGTCATGATAAAATGGATTGGGTATACCCTTAGTGACAAAATCCGCTGAGTCATGATTTTCATGACTGCCATGCTATTGGTTGACCTGGAACTGTTCACATGAACTCACCTCGTACTGATTGACAAAACAATTTCCATCAATAGCAAGTTGTCAACAACGGATGCAAGTATCACATGAAACAGCAGCGATCACGCCGAAACCAAATGACCCCCTATAGAGAAGGCCTATTTACCATGACTCAATGCCTTTAAAATTTGGAATTTTTACACATTAGTTTGGTTGGCATTTGTTTTGTCAAACATCTTTTCGTTATTTAGTAAAAACTTTTCTGAAAAAATTTAGAAAGAGTTATTTGCAAGTCTACAACAAGTTTTTATGATTTGGATATTTTTTTGCTAAAAGTGAAGTGGATCAGAATTACTGTGGGTACGAATTTTTTCTTTAGCATGAATATTTTTTAAGCAAAAATGTTTCACTGGTACAAATAACCACAAATATGCACCCGTTTATTAGAATTCAGGCTATTTTTACAATTTAGTGTTCAAGCAGAGCAACTCTGATACAAGCAAATAGCATGTAATCAGACAAACATCATAGTAGTGATAACACTGACACTTAAGCCAGGCTGCACGGAAGTGATGGTTTTGATACTCCCTGTATGGGGCCATAGGGATCATAGGGGTCATTTCATAGGAGTCTGGTTTTTTAGGATGTCTATGTTACAGGAAGTTCTGTAGCAAGGAGCTTACACAATTTTTTACAGCTCCTTTTGTGAATGGGGCATTTATTCCAAATTGGAGAACATGCTTGAATTTTTGTTTTTGTCAGCACATTGATTAAATTTATATTGGGGAAGATTTTTTACATTTTTCCTCTGCTCCAAAAATCTTTTCATGTTTCTATGGATCATTAGGTGTGTATCAACCTAGTTCACCCTAACTGTTTCAAAACCTTTGATAATGGTTTTAAATGAAGAGACAAAATTGCTCCTTTTAGCTACAAGAACCTCAAGTCAGTTCACAATTACTCGATTAGCACAGAAAAAATGATTAACAACTGCTGCTTGTGCTAATTAAGGTCTTAATGTGGAGAGTTGGAAAAATATTGACAAACCTTATCAACCTTTTCACCTGTTATCAATCAACCCTGCCAAGCCAATCCAAGGCAGCCTCTTCCTAGTCAAGGCATGCCAAGTATTGCCTGGCAACCCCTACCAAGCCCTGTTCTACCCTGTCCAGCCAAGCTGTAGCCAGCCAAGCTCTACTCTGTCCAGTCAATCTCTGCCCTGTCCAGCCAAGCTTTACCTTGTCCAGCCAAGCCAAGCCCCAGTCTGGCCCAGTCAAGTTAGAATTAGACTGATTTCAGGTTTCTATGAATTTTTATATTATTCTTTTAGGTAAGTCAAGGAGAAGATACCTAGCTAAATGAAGTAAGAAAATGATAATCTGCAAGACCTTGGTTGACCCTGAGACCCACAGAAATGGAGGACTTGAATGTGTTTTTAGTAAGTAGTGTTGTTTTTCTTTCAGAACTGTTCTTAGAAACCATTTAAATGGTGTAGAGTGATAAAGTCAGCATCACCAAGCTCATAATTGATACACCTGCAGTAGGGTTTGTTGGTTACAGCCATTCATCAAACAAATTAAATGTTTAGTTGAAATCTGCAGTTGTTCAAGCCAGCACCAAAATTGCAAGTAGCTTTTTGTTTAAGTTAGAATCATATTTTAGGCAGCTGAAACTTGCTTTAAAGTATTTATCTAGAAGTGTAAATCTTCATGAAATAAAGGGACACCAACTATGAGGTAAAAATATGAGGAAAACCAAAGATAACTAACTGGTGAATTGCAGCATAGAAAGAAAGTTTCCCACAGCTGTAATACTTATCCCCTTTTTAGAACAATTAAGTGCTGATGGCATTCCCTTCTGACCCGCTCTTTGTCCTCTAATCTGAACACATTGATCCTTGCTTGTTGGATATTGGATTTCAAGACCTGTTTTGATGTAGCTATATTCTCAACATTTTTGTATTGTCCAAATTCCATGTGATGTCTCAATCAAATACACAATAGTTTCTCTTTTGAATCAGTCGCTTATGAGCCATGTATTTGTAAACAATTGTAAATCTAATGATTATTACTTTAAGATTTATTTTAAGTACAATTATTTGGAAGGTGAAAGTCAATAAATTTTGCTTCAATTCAGTAAAAACATTTTTTGGTAGTCAGTAGTAACAAAATGATGTAAAAATTTAATTTATTTATCTTTTTATCTTCATTACCTTAGAGTTAAAAACTGAATTTAAAAAAGGGCATTTCCATCATTTTCCAGTTACTTGAAGTGTGTGGCACCAAAATCTTGCTTAAACCCCTCCCTGCCTTTTAAAATTGAAAAGAACAGTTTCAACAATGCAGTTTCCCATTCTCTGTACCACATTATCCAGGAACACAGCCTTTACCAAAGAAGGCCAAGACCAGGAGGGATGGTTGCCCTGATTACCCCTGTTGTTCAGGCAACCTGTCATTGATATAGTGCAAGTCTTCTGCAAGGTGCAAGTATTAAGATTTATCACTCACCATTTAAGCACCCTTGTGATTTCTTTGACAAAACATCTATATTTTGCAGGCTATACACTCTTTTTTATAAGAACCAGTAAATTTAAGTTCAGGCAGACTGTTCTTAATTTTTTCAAAAATCTGAGGCTGGATTGTTCTTAATTTGTTCTAAAATTTATAGGGTGGAAGCAGTTCAATTGCTAGCTTTTTTGCTCCAGGGAGGTGCTCAGACCTCATTTGCCAACAAAGTGAGTGAGACAATCTTCATTTGCTGACAACTGCAGCGGTTTTAGAGACTGCAGGGCATGAGGCCAAAAACATATGCGGCCCTTGTTCTTTACAATTTCTATTGTAAATTTTAAATTGGCCATGGCCCTGGACCCTCTTTAAAACCACCAGTCGCTGACAAGTTTGAAAATTCACCGAAAAAGCACCCATACATGGCTAAAAATCCTCGTTTTTTCGATAAAACTTTGTTGAAAATTCTATTTGTCAGTAGCTGGGACTCAGCTTGTTCTAAATTTGTTCTTAACTTTTGACCAGTTTTGATGCTCGTTTTTCTTTTAACATTTTCCTTGTGAAAAATAGTGTATGACATATTTTTTGAAGAAATTAATCATTGACAATTAATCAAAAATCATTGACTCTGAAAATCAGTTTTTATGACCAGGAAAATAGATTTCCTAAGGGCAAGCAAAACAATTGATAAAAGCCTTTTAAACTATTTGAACTTGTTTTATTTACAGTGAAGACAAATTTTAGCTTGAAGATCTTTTTTGTTGTATTTGCAGGTAGATAGGCTCATAATTTCAATGTATTAGGTTTTAGCAACTATTTTTCAAGTGTATGCATAGATATGATATATGGTGAATTAAACATGAGAGAGAAAGATATAAATTTTTCCAAGGCTCTTCTCTCTTTTGTTGATAAACATCATATTCTTAAACACAGTCTGTGCGTGTGGGGGCTGTGCTTGGGGTTCATTGCAGCCACCCGGGGTAAATTAGCTCGATACATTATTTGCTCGATTTTCTTAATCCCGCTTGGTATTTTTGGCCTATTTTTCTTCTACGCTTGGTGAGCTTTCGCGTCTTTTTCTTCCAGCAAGACACACTGACAACGCGTTGACGCCGAGAGATAATCCTGTTGAAAGTCACCATGGAGATAGTTCGATCCCTCTCCTACTTTTAATCTTAGTTTTTTCTTCACGGATCTTTCCCCTTTATTTTATCTATCTAATAGAGAGATTTTACAACTGTTGCAATGAAGCTTACAAAGTTTTATTTAAGTCCAACAGGTTTATTTTGTATCCAAAAATTTCAATCTGACAGGGTGTTTCATGGCCCATACCATAGTGGACAAGTCTGAAGTAAAGAAAATTTTGAAAATTCTTAAAATTTCATTTTTTTACAAGAAATAGTCAAAAAAACATTTAAATGCACCATTACTAACCAGCAAACAGATCTAAAAATTACATTACAGTATAGCAATGGTGAATTTGCAGCAGTCTCTGGTAAAGCAAAATATACTAGCGCTTGTTACCCTGGCTTACCAAGCGGCCTTGTGGTCCAGTGGTATTAGTGGGTGACTGCTAATGTCAAAGGTCACAAGGTCGTGGGTTCGAATCCCGGCTCAAGCGCTGTTTTTCCTCCAGAAAATTCAAGCGGCAATCACATGGACAGATGGACAATGGAACAATGCGAAACAATGGGAAATGCGGAAACAATGGGTCATTCAAAATGGGAACAAAGAGTTGGGATTCGAACAGGCGCATGCGCTTCCCGGTGGGCGGTAGTCCCCGGCTCCGGACATCCGGAGCCGGGGAAGACCGCTTACCGGGGATACCAACGGAGTCAGCAGGCTGGCCTCCGACTGAAAAGTCAGGGGGACATGCTCGTCTCCAAGATGAAAAGTAGGGGGACAGTCTGCACTCCGAGAGAAAACACAGGGGGAAGGTTCAAAATTTTTCTTCGAAAATTTTTTTACAAGTATAAAGGGTCCCCCACCCCGCCCCGCCATGCTGGGCCTCTCCCACGGAGTGCCCCAACGCCCCACCTGCACTGCAAGACCCTGATGAGCCCCAACCAGTCGTTCTTCGCTCCATCCATCTTACCATCTCTCCAGGTTGCCCTTTATCTCTAAGGTGAGAGGATTTAATTTCTCCTACACCATCTCTTCCACTGCCCGTCATTTTAACAAGTATATTGTACAACAAAGAACCAGTACCAAAACTCATCTCCTAAGGCCTAACCTAGCCTATTTTTGAGGGGTAAATCATATTGCACCATTTCTCCCCGTTGCTGCAAGACACCATTGGCTTACTGGGGGCACTGCCCTGCAAACCTAAAACAGACAACCTAACCGGCCGAAAGATCACACTGCTTTTAGGGAAAAAAATTGAGGATTTTTGTAAACAGTGCTAAAATGCGCACTCCTTGCAGTTTGATCGGTGTGAGATGTGAGAGGTGTTGCAGACCCGTTGACCAAGACCACCAAAGCCTACCTACCAGCAACTTTGATAACTTGACTAGTAAGGCCACTGTTCACAACGTCTACGCGCCACCCAGCATTTCTCGTCATTGCCCGGTACGTGCCAAGCACACAGAAAAATCGTCCCGTTGCAGTGTTATGGACGAGGGGGAATTTGGCAGCGAATGGTCGAAAAGAGCCTAAGCGTCGGCAGTTCATCACGCAATATACTAATCATAAAAAAATAAAATGGTTACTTAAAACGCGGAGAGAAATATAACTCAGTAAAAATATATTGCTAAAACAGGTTACAAACAATGAACTCAGAAGTTATACTTAACATAGATTTTATTAAAAAGTTTTAAGAAGAAAATAACAGCAGAGGGTGGTGAAAAGACAAGACAATTTTAATCCACATCATGACAAAGAAGGTTTTTGTACCTTCTATGGATGTAAAAATCGCTTTTGGAAAAGCAGGAATGAAAAAAAAATAATTTTTAACACCCACGGATAAATACGAAAACCCTTGATGTATAGCAAACTGAATTGCAAAAGTATTTAGTTTCTCAGGAATTCAAAACGTTTTGGATAAAGAAAAAGAAAGAAATACATCATTAAAATCCGAAAAACATTTGGAATTGAAAAGGGAACTTTGACAAAATTTCCGGGCTTACGAACTCTGAAATCATTGACCCTAAAAACAGTTTGAATAAAAAACTTTTCCAAAGAGGTGTATACTTTAAACAGTGTTCGCGTGTAATGTTTACCGCAAAATTAACGAAAAAGGATTGCAAGTTTTCTAATTTAGTACAGAAACCAGCGCTAAAAATTAGATGGGAATTTTTTTGAAAAATAGGAAAAGCATTAATTGGTTTTAAAAATGTTGAGGAAAAGAAAAGGTATAAGATGAGAAAGAAACTAGTTACAGTTGAAATAAAAATATTATTAAAAAGGGCTAGTTAGAATAAATTGCTATATTATACAAACAAATATAATTATAGGCCTACTTAGTGAATTTAGAGTAGATTAATTTAAGTTTGAGTTGTTTAATGATTAGAGATATCATCTAGTGCTACAATTTTTTATCTATTCATGCATGTTTGAACATAGTTTGAACTAAAGGACTACCTTGCCGAAAAACCTCCTGTCCTGAAAAATTACAAAATTTGATCTTAAAGCTAGTTATTCTGGAATAATAAATTAGATAAACATCAATGAATTTTGTAGTTTTATATTAACTTGAGGCTATTACTTGCGAATATTGTAAAGAAAAAACCTAGTTCACCAGGAAATAACTATCTGTTTAGTTTATTGGATCTAACCTTTCATTTTAACAATACAAGCTGTGAAAGTCACAATAATAATAATTATAATCATTATTTCGATTACAATTACAAAATATTATCAAATTATCAATAATAATATCAATTCTTAGATCTTTATATCAATAAACGCAACAACATTATTCGCTTTTATTCAACGTTATTATTATTATTATTATCAGTATTTTTGATTTATATCTTTAAATGCATTTTACGCGATTAATCTAAATAAAAGTTTAAAAAACGATAACTTAAAATTAGTTTTTATTGTAACTTGAAATAATTGCTAATACATAATTACTTAATTATTTAACCCTATAAAATGCAAAGAAAAATTCTTACACTAATAAATGATAAAAGGCGCACATAAACGTGATGAACTGCAAGGTTACCTATTCAACAGAACGTTTCGCCGTACCCTTGACCGATAGGGTAAATTAAATAATAATAAAAAGATCTACATATACCAAAATCCCTCGCACCCGACTAGAGAGCCAGGACGGATCAGAAATTGCTATCCTTACAACACAACCCCGATCAACACTTTTAGTTGCTAGATTGCAGCCTTTCGTTTCCATTGCGGCACTCCCATTCACCAAGACATCGTTGCAGCAAAGAGAGTACTCTAATACAATATGATTCACTCGCCGTTAAAGTTACCTATCATTGAAACAGCCACCGAAAACATTGCCCCCACCCAGTGTTTGGAGGTAAACAAAGCTAAGTATTAATGTCCCAATGATGAGTTTAGATCCTGATTAAATGTGTACAATATACAAGCAAAGATGACAAGCAATAAAAGAGATAGTGGAAGAGAGGTAATAAATCCTCTTACCTTGGAGATGAAGGACAAACTTGAAGAGATGGCAAGACACGATGAAGCGGAGAACGACCAGCTGGAGACCACCAGAATCTTGCAGCGCAGGCAGGACGTCGGAGCACTCCGCGGGAAGAGGCCCAGCACGGCGGGGCGGGGTGGGGGTGTGTCCGCACAAACATTCACTTTTCCCAATCCCTAATACAAGAAGCCGTAAAGAGAATGTGCAGACACTATGCAGGTGCAATACCGTATTACAGAGCTTTCTGGCTTAGCTTTTTTTCAAAAACCCATAAAACAGGGTAAAACTGTGGGATCGGACAAGAAAAGCCAGGAAACCGAAAAAGTTTTGGAAAATAAGGAATAATTGAAATTGTCTAGAGAAATGAGGATTAAAATGCCCAACGTTTGGGAAGCCAAAGATCATTTTAATAGGAAGATCGGCTTTTCTGAGACAAGAAAGAGCCCCAGGGTTTTTTTAAAAAACGTGGGGCAAAATTTTGGGAACTGAAATAAATCTAGAAATTAAAAAAGGGTTGTTGAAATTGGAACAGGTAGCTTTTGGAAAAGATGAAGTCAAAGCCCAAGTTGTTTTGGGCGCACAAATATAAACTTGTAAATAACTCTCTAAGATAGGGAAAAAGTTGAACACTCTCGAGTTCTAGAGAAAAGGTTTTTTGCAGAAAAAGGCACTTAAGTCTGACGTTGATAATACTGCAGCCAAAATGGATTCCTGTGGGGTAAAAGGTTTTCTTTTAAAAATAAGAAAAAAATTTTTCCGGGGTTCTTGAAGGGATTTGTGGAATACCGTAAACCCAAAATTTGTGAGGCAAAGTATCAGTAGCGAAACCGTATTATAAACGGGGGCCACCCCAGCCATAGGCTCTATTCTACGGGTTTTGCACCTGCATTAAATTACTTTTTTAAAAAAAAAATAAACAACGAATTCTGGATTAAGAACTTCCTCCTATCAGCTGAATTTGAAACCCTTCATTTTTCCAAATTTCATTGGATGGATAAGAAATGGGGGATGAAAAGGGACAAAGTGACGCACGGTCCAATCACGTTCGCACGGACAAATATGCTCTTCCGATGGAGGATAGTAGTGAGTTTCATCTTTGATGGCGTACATCCTTGCTTCCTTCTATCTTTCAGACTTTTGGTTGGTGATGTAATAGAGGGGTTTGGTGCTGGGTGATGTAGAAAGTCGCATATGAAGTAGAGAAGAAAGCATTTTGGAGACAGTGTTGTAGAAAAACAAAAGACATAAACCTGAAATAAATAAGCTAGAGCCCGGGAAACATGACATTCTTGTAATCAAAAACTAGAGGGAATACTAAACCCTGCCCAAACCCCGTCTTGCTCGAGGGAGATTTTCAACCCTTGAAGAATTTTGAAACGAAGGATGAAAAGAGAACTCTGTTTAATAACTGAATGAAACCTTTCCTGAATCAGGGGAAATAAGCATATTGAAGCGTTTTGGTAGAAAGAACTAGGTAATAAGGCCAAAGAGAAAAATTTGGAACATTGGAAAGAAATATTCGCACCTGACTTCAACGTGAGAAATGAACGAAATGTTAATAAATCTCGTATGTTTGGTGAACACTTGCTTTTCTTTAGACATCAATAGGACGCGTAAATACCAATAGGACAAGTATGTTGAATCTTATTGTACCAAAAACTTGGGCAAGAAATAATAGAAAGAAAGATGGAAGGAAATACGAGTTAGAAAAGACTAAAAGAATTATAGTTTGATATCAGAGAGAGAGTTGAAGAGAGGGTGTATATGAATTGAACATCCTTTGAACAAGTGGTCCTTAGTCCATGTTGCCTTTGTCCGTTCACCAGTTCTAGGTGCCATTCTTGTTGCTGTCCAAAATTGCTCTCACGACCCTCCTGTTAACATCCCTGGGGAAGAATTCTTTCACGACTTCCTTTTATTTTCCAAACTGAAATCTGATTGTAAATGGCGGGTGTCTGTCCAGCTGCAAGGCATACATTGGTTTCGTAACATCAGTGTAACATCTTTGATCCAGTTTGAAGCACAGGCACCAGGTTACAGACACATGACGTCACAGCAATTTAGCCTAAAGAGTTGAGGGTCCCATCCCTTTAAAGTGAAATTCAGCTGACTGGTAAGAAGTTCTAAGTTGGTCATTCAAGCAGCTTTTCCTTACTTACTACAATTTTTCTTCTTTGCAAAATAGTTCATGATCCTAAATTCAAACTTAATCATGATATTTGTCTTTGCAAATAAAGATTGTTGATTCCTATCCTTATTACGATCTTGTTGAAAACAATCTAGAAAAAACAACGACACAAGGGTCAGGGTTATGGATAGAAATGGATGTAAGGAAACAATTCTAATAAATCAAGGTGCCTAAATTCTTAATGCAATCGCGGAACCTATGATACGGTTATACAAATTTTCTTCATTTTTGCTTAAGTATTTTCCAGCTGATAAAGCAAAAATAGTGATAGGCTAGGTGATTAGCAAAATAGTTTTTACCTCCCTTAAAAACTTTTCCAATAGGTAAACTAAGAATTGTTTTAGGGAAACTTTGTTGGTATGAAGCACAAGCAGTTATCATTTTCATAAAAATCAAATTAGAAATTATGTTAACTATAGAGCCTATTCGCACCTAAGCCTCATCTTAACTGGACCTTAAAATTGAAAAAAACATGGTTGGGCTTAAGAAAAAGCTGCTCAAACGACCTTTCCCCTATGATATGGTGGAGAAAAAATACAGTCAATGCTGGCAAGCATATTTAAACAGAGTGAACCAACAGTTGCCTATCACTGTTCAATACTGAAAGTGTCGATACATGCACAAAGACATTCCAGTAACCGCTTTACCTTGCCCAACGTGAAAACCTACGCGCTTTAGATCCTTCAAATGACCCTTTACACGCTTACTTCTCCAAACGCGCAAAAGGATGGAACTTTTTGCAAAGTATCAAAATGCCATCAAGCATACCCACTGGGAAATGACCAAAATTTGCTCTAATGAGCGTTTTGGAACCGATAACTTGCCAGCAAATACTGAATTTCTAATCCATTCACAATCTTTTTTGTGTGTACATGCAAGACTATAGTAACAATCTTCCGTTTTCTCAAGAGTACTTCAGTCCATCTTCACTGCTCATCTTCTTGTGAACATCTTCTTGTTGACATCTTCTTGTGCATATTCTTTTTCTGCATCTTCTTCTTGTGCATCTTCTTCTTGTGCGTCTTCGCATTTGACATCATTCCTCAGAACAATTGTCCTTTGAAAATAATACAGAGAAGGTTGCCAACAGTGATGGATACGACAGGCAATACAAAACTCAGCAACGAATTTAACAATGAACCAATATTAGTATTTCTAAACTATTACCTAGGAATCTTAGGATCCTTCAACCATCTTCTAAGAAACAACACGAATCCTTTTTGTTTGCTTCATGACAAAACAAGTGTCGTGTAGCTGCAAAAATAGGGAAAATTTAAAGGTTAATATATTTTGCATTGATAACAAATATTCATTGAACTGCTAATTCACAAATAGAAAAGAACAAGTTAATAGCAAATCCCTGAAGTCTGAAGGTCTAAAGTCCCTCAGCAGGTTTGTAACCTCTATAGTGGGTTTAATACCTCCGGTAGAAGATTTAAAACACCATAATGGGTTTGATAGTAATTCTGTTCCACAAGGCACGGTTTCCCCCGTACACCTTGTCTGCCTTTCAAAAGGGGTTTTTAACCTCTTTTAATTCTTAAGAATGTTAATTCAACGAATCTACATCTCCATAGTAAACATGCAGCCTTAAATCATGATTAGCCTACTCTTAAGAAGGTTTTGTGACACTAACGAAGGTGTGGTGCCCTGTAAAGAAAGGCTGCCCTACAAAAAGTTGATACCAGCTAAAGTAAGAAGCTTTGATTATCACTTAGGGGGGTTGATACCCTCAACAGTATTAGCTGCCCCTTGAAGTGCCTTTTGACCCTTTAGTACCCCTACAGATGGTTGACACTTAAATAGATTATTTTCTCCCTAGAAAGGTTGCCGCTACTGTAAAGGGTCCGATTCGAAGTCTCTTCAGAAAGTTTCTTTTCCTTATAAAAGGGGTGATACCTCTATAGAAGGGGCGGTGCCTCTATAGAAGGGGCGGTGCCTCTATAGAAGGGGCGGTGCCTCTATAGAAGGGGCGGTGCCTCTATAAAAGATTCGAATAGTTTGGACGGCGTGGGTCTCAAGTACGCTTCATATTTGAAATAAATGAAATTTCAACTCACCATCATTTTGCTAAGATGTTCTATCGAGTTAAATGTTATTCCAGACTATTGACCAGTTTTGTTCTGCATTCCTGGAAAAAAAGCAAATAGAAAAAGAGGCACATTTTTTAAATAAATTCAATATACCATGGTTAAACATGAAAGATATCTACTTAACATCGATTAACGTCGATTGTTTTGTCTGAAGTAACTAAAAATTAATGTAAATTATTTTGTCTAAAGATAATGAATCAGTAAAAGTTTTGTTATGTTTTCAAAAATCACATAGATATTTTGAGAGAATGTGTATAGAAGAACAACATTTAGTCAACAAAATCTGTATTTAAGGCACGGTCAAAAATAATATGCACTTAAAATCTTAAAAACATAAATGCTTAATTTACAAAAAAAATTTAAAGACAATTCTTCTTTGGAACAACGTTTTAGTAAAAACGAAACTGGAAATTTATCCTAAACATAAAATAAAACAGGTAGCTTTACAAAACATGGTACATTATACCGGATGGAAGAACAGGCTTAAGAAGTGGCAATTGACAATTAAGGTCCATCGAGGGTGAGGATAAAAATGCAGGATATGATATTTCTTGAAGGCAAAAAGAAGGAAGCGAAACACCAAACAGCTTATCAAGACAATCCAGGATTAAAGAACATGAAAGTTCAATGAATCACACATTCTACTACCAAATGTTCTCAAAAATTAAAACACTTTAACAATCAAGAATTTATTGAATCACTTAAAGATCAATCGTTAAATTTGCGGTTACACGAATAAAAGCAACAACTTACATCGTTCTTAAACGCCATTTTCTCGGAAGAATTCAATTCTAGCAGATCGTCAGTCTCTTTAACCTCTTTCTTGAAAGTCTTTCATTTCTTTCTTACTCTGTAAACACAGGAAAGGCTTGACTATATTCTCCATCAAATACTCGGTGTATTCCCCTTATCAAACATTCGGTTTCCTTACACAGAGCTGATACCGTGTTTCCTCGTACTTTTCTTAGAACTTCCATCATCTCTTTTTGATACAGTTGGGGTTTTCTTCTTCCTTGAACAATTCTGATCTGTTCCAATTGCAGCTCGCTCAATGGGCTCCAACAATCTTTACTTATCAAAGTTGTGTGTGATACATTCATTCCAATTAGCTTCCGTGCACTGTCGATAAAATAAAAATGAAAAATTACAAGAAATGCACAGAGCCCTGATAATATAGAAAAGAATAAAAAAGTTCAGGTGAAGAATAAAAATAAAATCTGACAGAAAATAACATTGAGAAAAATATTTGCACACAAATGCAAACCAAGTTGACGAGAGATCAAAACAGAAGATTCATTTATATAAAAAGTGACAGCAAATACTACAAAGTCCAAGGTTAAACCTATGAGAATAACCTCGAACTTACCACAAAAACGAGCAAATAATTCCATCAGCATGTTTTAATAGCAAAGAACGGCAAACAATTTAGGCAAGAAAATTCTAAAAATCCCTCAAAAATAATTAATAGGTAAAAATTAAAAAAGGTAATTTAGTTTTAAATTTGTGGTTACATGAATAAAAGCAACAACTTACATCGTTCTTAAACGCCATTTTCTCGGAAGAATTCAATTCTAGCAGATCGTCAGTCTCTTTAACCTCTTTCTTGAAAGTCTTTCATTTCTTTCTTACTCTGTAAACACAGGAAAGGCTTGACTATATTCTCCATTAAATACTCGGTGTATTCCCCTTATCAAACATTCGCTTTCCTTACACAGAGCTGATACCGTGTTTCCTCGTATTTTTCTTAGAACTTCCATCATCTCTTTTTGATACAGTTAGGGTTTTCTTCTTCCTTAAACAATTCTGATCTGTTCCGATTGCAGCTCGCTCAATGGGCTCCAACAATCTTTACTTATCAAAGTTGTGTGTGATACATTCATTCCAATTAGCTTCCGTGCACTGTCGATAAAATAAAAATGAAAAATTACAAGAAATGCACAGAGCCCTGATAATATAGAAAAGAATAAAAAAGTTCAGGTGAAGAATAAAAATAAAATCTGACAGAAAATAACATTGAGAAAAATATTTGCACACAAATGCAAACCAAGTTGACGAGAGATCAAAACAGAAGATTCATTTATATAAAAAGTGACAGCAAATACTACAAAGTCCAAGGTTAAACCTATGAGAATAACCTCGAACTTACCACAAAAACGAGCAAATAATTCCATCAGCATGTTTTAATAGCAAAGAACGGCAAACAATTTAGGCAAGAAAATTCTAAAAATCCCTCAAAAATAATTAATAGGTAAAAATTAAAAAAGGTAATTTAGTTTTAAATTTGTGGTTACATGAATAAAAGCAACAACTTACATCGTTCTTAAACGCCATTTTCTCGGAAGAATTCAATTCTAGCAGATCGTCAGTCTCTTTAACCTCTTTCTTGAAAGTCTTTCATTTCTTTCTTACTCTGTAAACACAGGAAAGGCTTGACTATATTCTCCATTAAATACTCGGTGTATTCCCCTTATCAAACATTCGCTTTCCTTACACAGAGCTGATACCGTGTTTCCTCGTATTTTTCTTAGAACTTCCATCATCTTGTCTTTGATAGTTGGGTTTTCTTCTTCCTTGAACCTTCTGCATCTGTTTCCAATTGCAGCTCGCTCAAGTGGGGCTCAACAATCTTTACTTATCAAAAGTTGTGTGTGATACATTCATTCGGTTTCCTTACACAGAGCTGATACCGTGTTTCCTCGTACTTTTCTTAGAACTGCCATCATCTCTTTTTGATACAGTTAGGGTTTTCTTCTTCCTTAAACAATTCTGATCTGTTCCGATTGCAGCTCGCTCAATGGGCTCCAACAATCTTTACTTATCAAAGTTGTGTGTGATACATTCATTCCAATTAGCTTCCGTACACTGTCGATAAAATAAAAATGAAAAAATTACAAGAAATGCACAGAGCCCTGGTAATATAGAAAAGAATAAATAAAGTTTTGGTGAAGAATAAAAATAAAATCTGACAGAAAATAACATTGCTAAAAATATCTGCACACAAATGCAAACCAAGTTGACGAGAGATTAAAACAGAAAATTCATTTTTATAAAAACTGACAGGTAAAAGTCTAAAATCTAGTATATGAATATAAAATATTCTTCAAAGTTACAATGAAAATTAATTACATTTCTTCATCAGCAATTTATCACATGTTCGAATTTCATCAATGAAAAAATACAAATTTGTTTGGCCATTCTTGGTAACTTCTAGGCCACTGAAAGGTCTAGCCGACTGGTTCATTAAAACTACTTGCTTGTTACGACCTTTTTAACGAACCAACTGTACATTTCTCTTCTGATTTATCAAGAAATCGTCAATATAAAAGTTTTATATATTTTTGTATCTTAAAAAACTCTAAGAAAGAAATTATCTCGTTAAGGCACAATATATATGTTTTTAAATTAGACACTCTCATAGGTAACATTAAGTTTAAAATAGCGTTGTTGTGCCATAAATCTAGCTTTTTCTTTACTTTTTTCTCTGCGTGGTGCACTTTACGGTCTTTTTTTTATAGATATTTGTTACAAAATATAAAGTCATTTAAATCTCCTTCAGTATCTCTTTTCTTCTTGTAGAAATCCTATGAGTGCAATAGGTACTAATTGTGTGATATTTAGTGATATCCCACTTTCACTATTCATTTATTAGGCTCGTTGTAGGATATCAAACATGGTAATCTAAAAAGTTAAATAAATATGACTTATTGCACCGAACATCGCCATTTCGCACTTATGATGACTATAACATATGCTTCAAGTATGTAAAATGGACATCTGCGGCAATAACGACTGAAAAGTTTGATGTTATTGCATGTGTACCTACAGGCGCAAGAAAACTAAAAGGAGTCAGTTGACAATAATTAAATTTGTTTTTAAATATTAAGGATTGAATCACTGTTGTTTATTCAGTATTGCGTTTGATCTTTAGACAATCATTAACTAAAATTAGTTTTTTGTCATATAAGCAGAGACGTTGATTTGTAGTTTGCACGTAAAACTACTTTTGGGTGAAATTTCTTTGTTTGTGTGCATTTGGTTTCCAAGGCAAATGGTGTGCTATTATGAAACAAAACTTTATTTTTTCTGTTAAATACAAAATACACAATTTTTAGTAGTTTTTAAATGCGAAAAGTCGTAATTAAAAGCAGCTGTTTCTCTCCAGCTGTCTATTATTCTTGAGAGTCACTAAAAATGTACATCATTTGAGCTCTGGCTCAGTTCTTTAAAGACCCGTTGAGGAGACGCTAATCCACATGAAAAGTTTTTCTTAGCACAAGGATAGATTTATCTGATTAAAAGAAATCGGTGGCAAATGAGACAGAGTTGGGGATGGAGCAAAATACGAAGAAATCTGAGGTGAATTCAAATTTCAAAAGCCAACTAACGGAAATGGCACTACGATCTTACTTGGCAAATTCCACTATCCATGGACTTTCAAAAATTGCGGCATCAAAACATTGGAGTCTGAAACTTCTATGGAGTTCAGTAATTATTGCTCTTTTTGCTGCAAGCGTCGCCAATATTTATAGCCTTGCTGGAGAATACTTTAAGTACCGAACATATTTGCTAATAGAAGAGTGTGCAAATCATACGGCTAAGTTTCCCAGCGTCACTATTTGCAATGCAAACAACTTTCAAAGAAGTAAGGTTCGCGATCTGATCGAGGACCCGGAGGCGCGTTTTCAGCACTTCTTGAACATTAGCCTTGATAAGGGAGCGGTAGTAAATCTGTTGAATTTTCCTAATGCAAAATCTTTTATGGATCAAGGCAGTTTTTCAACTGCAAAAGCCACGCAGTCGGCTTCAGATATGCTTTTTCTAGAATCCATCGAGGGTTGGTGTAGATTTGGGCATTTCAAAACTTGCAACCAAAGTGACTTTAAAGATTATTTTTATGGCTTGGAGTCTGGATTTTGTAAGACGTTTAATCCAGACGGTAAGTTCACCCAGGTTGTTGTGGGGCCGTATGGAGGACTCCTTTTAACTCTGTACCTGAATCAAGACGATTATATGAGGCTCCTGCCATTTGATAATGGAGCTGGTGTATTTGTGAAGGTGCATCCACAGGATGTCTTCCCTTACCCAGCTAATGACTGGCTTGCCGTTGAACCAGGGACTCAGACACATATATCAATAGAACAAAAGATCATGCTTCGAGAGCAAAAGCCGTACAAATCTGAATGCGTTAATAGGGACGAAGACTTGATATACCCAGGCCGTTATCATGTCCAAAATTGCTTAAAATCTTGCTTTCATTTGAAACTTTATGAGAGCTGTGGCATAGTTGAGGCTTCAGTGCTTTACCATTTAGAGCAAAAAGGGAAAAAATTCCCCTCTCTGCCAAGGAACATTTCAAAAGACCCTGCTGCCTGTGGGCGAGAGTTTTACGCAAATCTAACTGCAAACAAGGTATTTTGTGATTGTCCGTTACCATGTTACGAAGAAACTTTCAAACTTACTGCGACGAGCTCTCGATGGCCCAGTGAAGCAGACATGCAGTATTACAAGCAAGTTCTTTCCAAGGTATTAAATCGAACCAATTTGTCAAAGGATTTTATTTCTTCCAATTTTTTGCAGCTAAAAGTTTACTTCACATCTTTAAGCTACCAGAAAGTTGTGGAGACACCAGCTATGATGCCTTGTACGCTGGCTGCTGGTATCGGCGGGTCACTCGGGCTTTTCATTGGTGCCTCATTCTTCTCAATTTGCGAGTTACTGACATTCATTTGCACAGCAATTTTTGGTCGTTGTCATAAACGCATTGGTCACCTTGATGGGTAATCAAGAGACACAGACCTTGAATTGGCGACCATCAATTGGCGACCAGGGCATCAGAGATGTGGGAATGGATGGAAACTTGAGTAGTTACTGAACAATGACATTAGTAATGATAAATTTGATAGCTTATATCATATCATATATTATATTATACTTTATTAATTATATTATATTATATTATATTATATTATATCATATCATATTATATTATATTATATTATATTATATTATATTATATTATATTATATTATATT